TGTGACCTTGAAATTGACCTTTGACCTACTTTTCACCATGAACTGAACTTTGCAAATTTTGCTTCCCTTTTATCTCCAAAACTGGCAGAGATAGGTCCATAGTTACTATTGAAGTTGGATAGGAAGTCATATACTGGCAATTTACTGTGACCTTGAAATTGACCTTTGACCTACCTTACAATGAACTTAACTTTGATTGCACCATTTTTAGTTATATATATTTTTTGCATATTTTGAAAATTCTTGTTGATTGCATTTTTACAGCTTGTCAAGCACAAGACTGGTGGCTGCACCCCTTATTTTGTGTATGTGGGGGTCTATACGAATGCGCTTGCTCCAGCTGGTGGTACAATATTCGGAGGCGGTATCGCCTCTCTGATCCTCTAGTTTAATACCACAGTACCTTGGTACCCTTATATCACTACAAGAAGTTACTTGGCTTTTCCATTCCAAAGAGTGGGATACAGTTTCATAGTTCATGAGGTATGATTTGTTCTTGTATTGCATTTAAGTATTATAATTACTTCATTTTATATTTTCAGATGAATGGCTCATGTTTGATGATGACAAAGTCAGTGTGGTAGAATCTGAAGACATCTTGAGACTCTCTGGAGGAGGTATTTAATGCTATCATATCTTGTTTGTGACAGTCTTGTATCTTACAATAAATTAAATGGCCACATGCTGGGTAGTTTGCATGTATTTTTTAAATATACATATAAATTCTTTAAAAAATTAAGAATTTTCTTATGTAATCAAGGTAATGCACATGTGGTCAACATTATTCATACTAATTCATACTAAATGATTTTAAATTATTTCAATAATTTTAAATAATTCCCTTTCTGGCCATCTCTAGGTGACTGGCATTGTGCATACTTCCTTGTATATGGTCCCAGGGTGTTGGAAATTGAGGAGGAAGAGGTTGAGGAGGGGGCAGGTGAAGGACAGGCAAAACCAATGGAAACCAGCAGCTAAACTGGATAGTGATCTGACAGAAATGATTTAAGACCTTTAACAGTTACAGCCAAAATAGTAAATTGGTTTAATGTTTTGTTCATGTGATTTTTCTATGCAGTGTGTTGCATACAGTCTTGCTGCTGGTTTTACCTAAACCACTTAAACATCAGTCTGCAAGTCGCACCTTGAAATATGTGCTGAATGTAGCTTTTAAATATTTGACTGGGAACTGAAATTTAAAGTGCCAGTATGACAGTGATGAAGTTATCTTGTTAAAGTTGGACCTTTATCTGACAAGACCATTTTCGACATTACATTTCGGGCATTAGATTGAAGATCAAATTGCTTGAACACTGGATTCCTAAAAAAAGCTAAGCTTTACATTTACTAATTTGATGACAAAGAGAAATGCTATGGACAAATTCACAAAATTAAAATTTGTAAATAAATATATTTATTTGGCCATATGTGTCAGTTTTATTTTTTTTCACATATTGTTAATCTTTTCATGTACACAATGCCTTATGACAATATGGTTATTTGACACCATAAGTATTTTTACCAAATCTTGTACAGGGACAGACTTGACTGCAGCTTAAAAAATAAAGGTTGACAAATCTGATTAAACCTAGAATTACCTTAAAAAACATAAAATAAGACTTTTCACTCTGCTCTGTTGTTTGCATTGGGTCTAAGTGCTTGAAATGATTATTTTGCTACTTTCATTTTGTTCAAGAATGTAGGTTGCAGCTTGATCCCTTATCAATTCCTGATACATGTTAAAACTCGGTACAACTTTAATTTTGATGGATAGAGGTTTTCAGATAAATAAATAGATTAATGAAAATAACTGTTGCTTAAACATCAATATCTGTAAGGATTATCACTTATAAAAGCTCCCATATAATTTAGTGAGATAAAAAATTATTAGCAGACATTTAGGTGTCACTACAGTCTGGCACTATATAATAAACATCAGACCGCTATAAATAATCTAGATATTCTTGTTTTACCATAAAGTGATCCATAGCTCACATTAATATACATATCATACTGATAGATCTATGATGATATTCCTCAAACAGTTGCAGAAAAAAAGAGCAAAACTGACAGGCCACTGTTACAGGGCAGATGATCATTTCACATCTGATGTACTCTGATCATAGACTAAATGCTGATTCTGAAAAAAGACATAAACTAACTTTTATTACCTCGATCATCTATACATAGGTTTGACAGTGTGTTAAAATAGATATATGACAATTTATTTTAGGGTGGTCCTATAAAGCAAATGGGCCATGATGATGAAAGAAGGCACTAAAGTTGGCAAAAAAATTGACATTTTAGCTCAATAGTCCATTTTTAATTGACAATTCAGATGCAATTTAAACACAAACCGAAAATCGGCAAATAAACAGACATTACTTTAAATAAAATCCATCAGTTTGCACACTAAGGGATAAAAAATAATTCAGCATGATGGATTCTGCGAGATTGCGCGTTTGCACTGGAATCATCACGTGTTTGCGAACTTCAGAAGTGTCTAGTCGACCCTCTTCTTGTGACATGCTAGATATTGCTCTTACTTCTACAGATTTTATGTTGGGAATATACAGAATCACTTATCAGAATGGCAAAAAATCACTTCAGATATGATTGTTCTGAACATAGTAAAAAGCTATAAAATTGAATTTGATTCCTTGCCTGTACAAAATTTTGAACCCAATGAATGCAAGTTTGTGATACTGAAAAAGAGATAGGGGAAAATATTGACAGAGGGCCTGGCAGTGGAGAAATGATACGTTTGTTAGCTCTGAGCGCCTAATATGGCAGCTGGGCTGTATCCTCCCCAGGGAGGTGAGAGCGACTATAGGGTGCTCCAAGGCCAAAAATGACCAGGATTCTCCGACTTAAATAAATTTCATTAAAAAATATAAATAAAAAGTATATATATATATATATATATATATATAATTTCAACCTTCAGGGCCTGGTTTTATTAAGGCTGGATAGGCTATCCTATGGATAACACTATCCAAGGTATAAATCTCTTATCCTCTGGATATTTATCCTCTGTATAAATTTGTGTTTCATAAATGCTGGATAAACAGCATGATAGTTATCCAGTAGATAAGAATTTTATCCAATACCATATTTGGAAAAAGACATTCCCATAATGCAATTGGTTGCTATAAACATTGTAAAAGCCATGATAGTTGCTAACAACAGAAGTGATCTATACCATATTTGGGAAATATATTACCCACAATACCCTTGTTCTGTCGTCTGCTTCTCTGTCTTGCAAGATGGTGTCGGCTTTGGCAAGCAAAAGACAAAGAAAAGCAAATTGGAGCCATGCAGAGACATCTCTGTTGATTGAACTGTGTGAAAAAAACCACACAGTAATAAGAAACAAACACACTTTCACCTTGGACAACAAGGCCAAGGTGGAAGTGTGGAAAACCATAGCAAAAGAGGTGTCATCAGTTGCTGTATCAATGAGAAGTGCAACAGAGTGCCGAGAGAAATGGAGACATCTCATCTCTTCAGTGAAAAGGACACACAGTGACCTGACCCCAAGAAAGCAGACTGGAGGGGGTCCACCACCCCAGGAGCTCAGCCCATCTAAATCAAAGATTGTAAATATATATGCTGGCACTCCAGCATTTGATGGTTTGCCAGGAGGCATAGAGACAAGTGGTAAGATTCATTTTATTTTACTAACAAAAAATATTAACTAAATAACAGAAAATATTGTGAAGTATACTAAATACATATACATAATATTTTCCACCTTGTAAAATCTCTTGCTCTAATGTGTTAAGCTCCATAAAATAAACCGACTGGATAGCCTCGGACTTGGGTTCAAAACCCGTCCGGGGACATACCAGTCCTTTATAAACGGTGCCTGCTGTCTCCCCGCTTGGCACTCAGCACTAAGGAGTTGAAGAAGGGACCTGGTCTGGCAGTGCACAAATGATATATATCTGAGCGCTTATATGGCAGCCAAGCTGTATCCTCTCCTGGGAGGTGAGAGCGTCTACAGAATGCACCAGTGCATAAACACCAAGAAATATGTCACTAACCAACACAAATATTAAAACACTTGGGATTAATTTTAGACTTTGTAAACATGACAGTAGCATTCAATCAAGAAAAATTTGACAAAATTAAAATTCAAAAGCTCCTGTTAAAGGGTTTGACTCATTGTTAGACTGAAGAATGACCTCCATAAACTGGACAAGACGCAGATCTCGGACTTCCTAGATGATGCCATTGCCTTTACTGCAGACGGATTGCATGAGCTTGACTTGTGACGACAAGTCTTACTAAAACCAGGACTTAAATTAAGCCTCAATTCAAGTCTCTGGCAAGTGAAATGCAGCCTGTCACTAATCTACCCTTTGGAGAAGATTTGGAAAAGACTGTTGAGGAACTGAACAAGTCCCATAAAGTGTCAGCCACAGTAACTGTCAATACAAGTAACAACAAGAAAAGAAATATTAAGCATGATGAGATCAAGCGCCCACCCTTTATCCACCCTTGGTTATCCACATGGACCTTTATGTCTTAGAATGATGCTTCCAGTGCGCACACGCAATCTTGCTTGATCTCATCATGCTTAATATGATAAGGTAGAATCCCAATCAAATTTCACCTTACCAAGGTAAGTCTTGTTTAATTTTTAAATCCTACATGCATTTCATGCAGCTTCCAGCAGGTTAAAAAAAGTTGTTATACAGTCCACAGATACAGATGTAGTGATTATAGCTACCCTTGCATTAGGCTCAATGCAATTGATGAGCATGGTTCAAAATGGGTGTTTAAGACAAGACTCCAATATACAGAGTTCCAATATACAGCATGTCTTAAGATCTGGGACCTGTGTTCTGGTCTCCCTGGCTTCAATGTACTGACGGAGGGTGATACCTCCAGCAGTGGTTGCAGTATAGGCAAGAAAAAGGCATGGAAAGAACCCTGAACAACAGATGGCAAGAAGGAGAAGGAATCCTACAGCCACTCTAAGTGACCATAAAACCAGCACCCAATGGACTTCGGGCACTAATTGCTTGTAAATGCGGTAAATCCCATTGCATGAGAGTTACCATGTACACAATCATGCCTCTGTGAGTGAGGAGGAATGTGAAAACGTGTATGTGAACAGTGGATGCATCACAGGCAGTGAAGAAGATGAAAATGATGATACTTTGAAAATGCTGTAATGATCATATTTTGCAAGGTGTCATTGAATATTTATTAAGAACATGAATATATGATTGCATAAATATTATGATTTAATGAATCAAAATGGGTCAAATTCTTTTTTGTACAATTTTGAAGTATGGCATTACAACATTTATTAAAGTTATGCACGTGTGGACTTTTGTGAAAAACATTTGTTAATGGATAAGGGAAATTTCATTGTTCCAAGAACAATGTTTATAGAAATGTCATTGTCCAAATACTGCCAAATAAGCAAATCTGGCACAGTAGTAAAGAAAAGTAGACTGCTTCACTTATGATTATAAAATGATTATTTGTCCCTTAGCTTGCCAGCTTAGGGATTTTACTTAAAGTGACAATGTCTGTTTATTCATGGATTTTCAGGGTTCAAATCACTTTTGAATTTATTTGTCAATTAAATATGGACTACTAGCTAAAATGTCCATTTTTTTTGCACCTTTTGCCGACTTAAGAGCCGCTTTCATTGTCACAGCCTATTGGTTTTATAGGACAACCACCCTAAAATAAACCTTCATATATCTGTCTACCATAATACAGTGACAAACCGAGTATAGATTGCCGAGGAAATTTAAAAAAAAATTCAGGCCTGTAGCGTCTAGCCTAATAAGACTACTTCAAAAAACCAAAAGAAGATCGAACAAAAAAAAAAAAAAAAAAGAAAGAAATTATTATGCAGACTGTGGCAAAAAACACAATCATGAGGAAATTTAAGAACTTACAAACCCCATGAATGATCAAGAGTTCTGGAGCATTACTGTGGCCCCTGTATACACATGACATGGTGATGATAATGAGGATGTTAGGGAAGCACCTGATCCATCACTTTCATGCTCATCCAAAGCTGACTAATTCATGCCCCTGATGCTCTCAACAATTGAAGCAGTCCAGGGCCTTTAAAATATAGGTCTGGCCAAAGTACTCTTCCTAACAATGTACAGATTTAGGTGACTCAGACATACAGCATATCTCCTTACCCGTGTCCAACTTTAGGACCAGCTTTAGTGCTCAAGTTATGGATCTTATAACTGTATTAAAGGAAATCTCTCATTCAAAATGTGCATCAAAATTCCTTTCTACAGTTTCTTTTGATAGTTTGATAGTTCTGTTCCAAGAGTCTGATGTAATACTGATCATGCCATCAAGATACTTTCTTCCCCATCCAGAACTTTGATTTGGGCTTCTGTTTGCCGGCAATGTCCCCTGCAGATCTTCTCAGTTTTCTTCTTTCTGCATGGTGTTCTATTGCCTCGCGCCTTTTATGCTTTTCTTTTTCATTCTAAAATTATAAGATGGACATTATTCTTTATTTTCACTCAGTAGTAAAAAGGTATTTTAATTCTTTTACCTATGTTTTACCTATGCATGATGATAAATTCAAGATTTACAATCATTGCAGATTATTCTTTGATGATACACAATTACCTTCTTGAGGGAGAACACCATTTCTCTGGCCCCTAGAGAGGATCCAACATGGCGAACAATGCCACTTGAATCTTCATCTGCTACACGCTCTGCCAAAGATTTTCTGTAATGAAAGAGTACACAAAAACATCTGAATTATTCACATGATCCTTTCATAGACACTTACACAGCAAACACTTCAAGGTTATCAAGTCTATAGTAAAATATTCCAATCTTGGTTTGTAATGAATAAAATCATTTGAATTGTTTCTTCTTCAGACGTCTGAATAAAAAAATGATAAATTTTCATTTGCAAAATACATCTTTTGTTTCAAGGGGAAGATAAAAAAGTTTTCATGTTTTTCTGCAGAAAACAATGCAAATACGATTATACTGGAAATGCACTGTTAAGGTTAACTCTTACATTTATTGAAATTATGTAATCAACAGATTTCAAATAAGATGCAGCAGCAGGTACATCAACTCCAGATTATCACCTAATTTTTCAATGAACTTACTTGCTCAATGTCTTCTTTTTTCTTTTGAAACTGTGAAATTCTTCTCCTTCTTTGATTTCATAGAATTTTGGTTTGAGCTCTCTTTCTTCACGTTCTCTCTTTTTCTTTGCCCTAGCTTCTTCTGAGAGCTGTTTGTGCTGTTTTTTTAACTCCTTGGTCCAGGTGTGTTCATCGTCTGAACTGCTGTCCTCACTGCTTGGTCTGCCCTCCAACTCATCCTAAAAAAAAAACAGACTGTAGTAATCTTTTCTTTTCTTTCTTTCTTTCTTATTATCTATCTATCTGTCTGTCTACCTACCTATCTATCTATTTATTTACTGGTTATATTGGTAAGAAAATGTACTGCACGCATACTCCCTAGATGTAAAGACGAGTAATGATTTATATAAATACGTACAGTCAGGTCATGTATCCATAGGGTGAAAATAAGTTATTTCAATCATGTTGTGCTAATAATTTATTGTCTCAGTCTTCTAAAAAACTACAAAGCATAGAACCTTCAACAGGCTTTAGATTTTCAATTATTTAACATAATAGGTGCTAAATGACAAATAAGGCATGTTTTCATATATTAGTAAATTTAAAGAGGGAACTACAACAGAAAAATGTTTGAGCAAAGATGCAATAAAAATCAACCGGCATATAAATGCTAGCCAAACTTACATTTATTTCTTCAAATTGCTGGGCAAGTCTCTCTTGTTTCTCTTGTCTTTTCCTTCTATCCTTTTCTAGCTTGGAGACCACAGGATTGAGCAGACGATATTCTTCACTCTCTGGATCCACTTGGAAATCGGGATTGCTGAACATGGCGGCAAAACGTGAATCTCCAAGTAAATTGAAAGTCTCTTTCTGCAAACACATAAATGAAGAACTCCATTATTTGAGGTATATATTCATAAAATTTCACTAATTCAGTGAATAATGTACACAATAAGAGATTTCATCTTTATACTACTGCTTATATGAAAATACACTGCATATTACAAATCTACAAAATTTTATCCAAAATAAACAAATTTTTTTAATGATTTACGTTGTGGTACTTCTCCTTTATTCACCATTTAAAAATGGGACTTATTTAATAATTACTACCTTGCCCTTCTTTTTCCCAGATTTTTGCTGCTCTTCTTGCTCTTCCATCAACCTCTCAGCTAGATTTTTGTTGACTTTAGGTAATTTCTGGAAACAAAACAACAACAAACTTAGGGTCTTCTTGAAATAAATACACTCAATACACTAATAGGATTGAATTCACTTTTTACTACTGCACTATAGAGAAATAGATACACATTTAAATATACTCAAAAACCCTACATACCTTGACTCTCACTCTGTTAGCTCTTGCTTCTTCAATCTTTTCCTTGATCTTATTCTTTCTATATTCAGAATAAGCAAACGGCTCCACTATAGATTTTGCCTATCAAAAGACAAGAGTCTAAGAGTTAAAAAAAAAAACAAAGGATAAAACATGACAGCACTTTGTTACATCGAGACAATCTTCTCATCAACTCTATCATACTATTACTTACTAAAGAAACCAATTCATGAGTGAAAAATAGTAAAGATTCACTTTTTTCTTCCTAGAGGATACTGGCAAATAGTTACATTAAATATTCAAGCAAACTATTTGTTAGGGAAATGTTACCTTGTGATATAACCTGATATCTATGAAGAAACCATGCATGTAGGCCCTCAGTAAATTAGACCCAATCAAATGAGAGAGTCCCAGCTCATCAAGCTCTTGTCTAGTTAAGAATTTGTAGTCATCATACACTGCAACAGTAATTATTCAACACATGATCTTCACAATATTTCAATTAAATTATGCATTTGTTATAAGACAATT